CTTGCCCACGTGGCTGGTTTGGGGGGCGAGGTTCTTCACATGCTACCAGGGCTTGCCCACGTGGCTGGTTTAGGGGGGCGAGGTTCTTCACATGCTACCAGGGCTTGCCCACGTGGCTGGTTTGGGGGGCGAGGTTCTTCACATGCTACCAGGGCTTGCCCACGTGGCTGGTTTGGGGGGCGAGGTTCTTCACATGCTACCAGGGCTTGCCCACGTGGCTGGTTTAGGGGGCGAGGTTCTTCACATGCTACCAGGGCTTGCCCACGTGGCTGGTTTGGGGGGCGAGGTTCTTCACATGCTACCAGGGCTTGCCCACGTGGCTGGTGGTGGGCGAGGTTCTTCACATGCTACCAGGGCTTGCCCACGCTGCGCTTTGCTCGGTTCGACGCCGTAGCCGGGGGAGGCTTCGCGCCTGCCAGCAGCGCACCGTGTCCACGGAGCAACGCAGACACTCGCTGGTCACCCCGCGTAGTGTAGAGTATAGTAGTGTAGTGTATAGTGTAGTGTATATTGTTGTGTATAGTAGTGTAGTGTATAGTCGTGTATTGTATAGTGTATAGTAGTGTAGTGTATAGTGTAGAGTATAGTAGTGTAGTGTGTAGTGTGTAGTAGTGTATAGTGTAGTGTAGTGTGTAGTGTAGTGTATAGTGTAGTGTATAGTGTAGTGTATAGTAGTGTATAGTGTAGTGTATAGTAGTGTAGTGTATAGTGTAGTAGTGTATAGTGTGTAGTAGTGTGTAGTGTATAGTCGTGTATAGTGTAGAGTATAGTAGTGTAGTGTATAGTAGTGTAGTGTATAGTGTAGAGTATAGTAGTGTAGTGTGTAGTAGTGTATAGTGTAGTGTATAATAGTGTAGTGTATATTAGGGTGGTGTATAGTGTGTATAGTAGTGTGGTGTATAGTAGGGTGGTGTATAGTAGGGTGGTGTATAGTGTAGTGTATAGTAGTGTAGTGTATAGTAGTGTAGTGTATAGTAGTGGTGTATAGTAGTGTATAGTAGTATATAGTAGTGTAGTGTATAATAGTGTAGTGTATATTAGTGTGGTGTATAGTAGGGTGGTGTATAGTGTAGTGTATAGTAGTGTAGTGTGTAGTAGTGTAGTGTATAGTAGTGTAGTGTATAGTGTAGTGTATAGTAGTGTAGTGTATAGTGGTGTAGTGTATAGTAGTGTAGTGTATAGTAGTGTAGTGTATATTAGTGTGGTGTATAGTAGGGTGGTGTATAGTGTAGTGTATAGTAGTGTAGTGTGTAGTAGTGTAGTGTATAGTAGTGTAGTGTATAGTAGTGTAGTGTATAGTGTAGTGTATAGTAGTGTAGTGTATAGTAGTGTAGTGTATATTAGTGTGGTGTATAGTAGGGTGGTGTATAGTGTAGTGTATAGTAGTGTAGTGTATAGTAGTGTAGTGTGTAGTAGTGTAGTGTGTAGTAGTGTAGTGTATAGTAGTGTAGTGTAAACCCCTTGTCAGTGCCCTACCTTATTACAGACCAATTCAGATATGATTGGTAACCCTGTGCCCTTATACATCTCTCTGTGTGTGTCTCTGTGTGTGTGTCTGTGTGTGTGTCTCTGTGTGTGTATCTGTGTGTCGTGGGTGGCGGTAGTGTAGCGGTTAGCGCGCTGCGCTATGAACCTGTTGACCCGGGTTCGATTCCCGCTCACGGCCAACACCAGTGACGATTATCTGAACCGGTCCTGGGCCTCCCCTAGCTCGACTCAGCCTCAAATGAGTACCTGGTGCAGTGGATAAAAACATTGCCACTAGGGAGACAAAGGCGGTCGGGCGTGGTGCTGGCCACCCACCCCCTTGTGTACCGTTCCGGCCTTCATAGGTGCTCGCTAACAGCACTTGCCCCTACAGTCTGTTAAGGCTATATGGGGGGTCTTTATCTTTGTCTGTGTGTGTGTGTCTCTGTGTGTGTATCTCTGTTTGTCTCTGTGTGTCTCTGTGTGTCTTTGTGTGTGTGTCTCTGTGTGTGTGTCTCATTGTGTGTATCTCTGTGTGTCTCTCTGTGTGTCTCTCTGTGTGTCTCTGTGTGTGTCTCTGTGTGTGTCTCTGTGTGTGTGTCTGTGTGTGTCTCTGTGTGTGTCTCTGTGTATCTCTGTGTGTATCTCTGTGTGTGTATCTCTGCGTGTGTATCTCTGCGTGTGTATCTCTTTATGTATCTCTGTGTGTATCTCTGTGTGTGTGTATCTGTGTGTGTGTATCTGTGTATCTGCGTGTGTATCTCTGTGTGTGTGTATCTGTGTGTGTGTATCTGTGTATCTGCGTGTGTATCTCTGTGTGTGTATCTCTGCGTGTGTATCTCTGTCTGTGTATCTCTTTATGTATCTCTGCGTGTGTATCTCTGTGTGTATGTCTATGTATCTCTGTGTGTGTATCTCTGTGTGTGTATCTCTTTATGTATCTCTGTGTGTGTCTCTGTGTGTATCTCTGTGTGTGTATCTCTTTCTGTATCTCTGTGTGTGTGTCTCTGTGTGTGTATCTCTGTGTGTGTATCTGTGTATCTCTGTGTGTATGTCTCTGTGTGTCTCTGTGTATCTCTGTGTATCTGTGTGTGTGTCTGTGTGTTTGTATCTCTGTGTGTATGTCTCTGTGTGTATATCTCTGCGTGTGTATCTTTGTGTGTATCTCTTTATGTATCTCTGTGTGTGTATCTCTGTGTGTATCTCTGCGTGTATCTTTGTGTGTGTATCTCTGCGTGTATCTCTGCGTGTATCTCTGTGTGTATCTCTGTGTGTGTATCTCTTTGTGTCGCTGTGTGTGTATCTGTGTGTGTATCTCTGTGTGTGTGTCTCTATGTGTGTATCTCTGTGTGTGTATCTCTGAGTGTGTATCTCTTTATGTATATCTCTGTGTGTGTATCTGTGTGTGTGTCTCTTTATGTATCTCTGTGTGTGTATCTCTGTGTGTGTATCTCTTTATGTATCTTTTTATGTATCTCTGTGTGTGTATCTGTGTGTCTCTGTGTGTCTGTGTGTGTGTGTCTCTGTGTGTGTGTGTCTCTGTGTGTGTCTCTGTGTGTGTCTCTGTGTGTGTCTCTGTGTGTGTCTCTGTGTGTATCTCTGTGTGTATCTCTGCGTGTGTATCTCTGCGTGTGTATCTTTATGTATCTATGTGTGTGTCTCTGTGTGTGTATCTGTGTGTATCTCTGTGTTTGTTTTTCTGTGTGTGTATCTCTGTGTGTATCTCTGTGTGTGTCTCTGTGTGTATCTCTGTGTGTGTATGTCTATGTATCTGTGTGTGTGTGTATCTGTGTGTATCTCTGTGTGTGTATCTGTGTGTGTATCTCTTTGTGTATCTCTGTGTGTGTATGTCTATGTATCTGTGTGTGTGTGTCTCTGTGTGTGTATCTCTGTGTGTGTATCTCTTTATGTATCTGTGTGTGTGTATCTCTGTGTGTGTATGTCTATGTATCTCTTTATGTATCTCTGTGTGTATCTCTGTGTGTGTATGTCTGTGTATCTGTGTGTATCTCTGTGTTTGTGTTTCTGTGTGTGTATCTCTGTGTGTGTATCTCTGTGTGTATGTCTATGTATCTGTTTGTGCCTGTGTGTCTCTGTGTGTGTATCTCTTTATGTATCTCTGTGTGTGTATGTCTATGTATCTCTGTGTACGTATCTGTGTGTGTATCTCTGTGTGTGTATCTGTGTGTGTGTCTCTGTGTGTATCTCTGTGTGTGTATGTCTATGTATCTGTGTGTGTGTATCTGTGTGTATCTCTGTGTGTGTATCTCTGTGTGTGTATCTCTGTGTGTGTATGTCTATGTATCTGTGTGTGTGTGTCTCTGTGTGTGTATCTCTTTATCTCTGTGTGTGTATCTCTGTGTGTGTATGTCTATGTATCTGTGTGTCTCTGTGTGTGTATCTCTTTATGTATCTCTGTGTGTGTATCTCTGTGTGTGTATGTCTATGTATCTGTGTGTATCTGTGCGTGTGTATCACTGCGTGTATCTCTTTATGTATCTCTGTGTGTGTATGTCTATGTATCTGTGTGTGTGTATCTGTGTGTGTATCTCTGTGTGTGTATCTCTGTGTGTGTATCTCTGTGCGTGTATCTCTATGTATCTGTGTGTATCTCTGTGTGTGTATCTCTGTGTGTGTATGTCTATGTATCTGTGTGTGTGTGTATCTGTGCGTGTGTATCACTGCGTGTATCTCTTTATGTATCTCTGTGTGTGTATGTCTATGTATCTGTGTGTGTGTATCTGTGTGTGTATCTCTGTGTGTGTATCTCTGTGTGTGTATCTCTGTGTGTGTATCTCTGTGTGTGTATGTCTATGTATCTGTGTGTGTGTATCTGCGTGTGTATCTCTGTGTGTGTATCTCTTTATGTATCTCTGTGTGTATGTCTATGTATCTGTGTGTGTGTATCTCTGTGTGTGTGTCTCTGTATCTCTGTGTGTGTATCTCTGTGTGTGTATCTCTGTGTGTGTATGTCTCTGTATCTGTGTGTGTATCTCTTTATGTATCTCTGTGTGTGTATGTCTCTGTATCTGTGTGTGTGTGTATCTGCGTGTGTGTATCTCTGTGTGTATCTCTGTGCGTGTATCTCTATGTATCTGTGTGTATCTCTGTGTGTGTATCTCTGTGTGTGTATGTCTATGTATCTGTGTGTGTGTGTCTCTGTGTGTGTATCTCTTTATGTATCTCTGTGTGTGTATCTCTGTGTGTGTATGTCTATGTATCTCTGTGTGTATATATCTCTGTGTGTATCTCTGTGTGTGTATCTCTTTATCTATCTCTGTGTGTATCTCTGTGTGTGTGTCTATGTATCTCTGTGTGTGTATTTGCGTGTGTATCTCTGTGTCTCTGTGTGTGTATCTGTGTGTGTGTCTCTGTGTATATCTCTGTGTGTGTATCTCTGTGTGTGTATGTCTATGTATCTGTGTGTGTGTATCTGCGTGTGTATCTCTGTGTGTGTATCTCTGTGTGTGTATCTCTGTGTGTGTATGTCTATGTATCTGTGTGTGTATCTGTGTGTGTATCTCTGCGTGTAGAGTACTCCCAGCTGTTTGCGACGCTGATCGCACGCACTGCCAAGGATATTGATGTCCTCATCGACTCCCTGCCGAGCGAGGAGTCGACCGCCGCCCTGCAGGTAGCACCCTGCACCACCTACAAACAACAACAACAACACCACCCTGCACCACCTACTAACAACAACAACAACGCCCTGCACCACCTACTAACAACAACAACAACACCACCCTGCACCACCTACTAACAACAACAACAACGCCCTGCACCACCTACTAACAACAACAACAACACCACCCTGCACCACCTACAAACAACAACAACAACACCACCCTGCACCACCTACTAACAACAACAACAACGCCCTGCACCACCTACTAACAACAACAACAACACCCTGCACCACCTACTAACAACAACAACACCCTGGACCACCTAACAACAACAACAACAACGCCCTGCACCACCTACTAACAACAACAACAACGCCCTGCACCACCTACTAACAACAACAACAACACCCTGCACCACCTACTAACAACAACAACAACAACGCCCTGCACCACCTACAAACAACAACAACAACGCCCTGCACCATCTACTAACAACAACAACAACGCCCTGCACCATCTACCAACAACAACAACAACGGTGGGTGGGTGGTTGGGTGGGTGGGTGGATGGGTGGATGGGTGGATGGGTGGGTGGGTGGTTGGGTGGGTGGGTGGATGGGTGGGTGGATGGTTGGGTGGTTGGGTGGGTGGGTGGATGGGTGGGTGGTTGGTGGGTGGATGGGTGGGTGGATGGGTGGGTGGATGGGTGGGTGGTTGGGTGGGTGGGTGGATGGGTGGGTGGGTGGATGGGTGGGTGGGTGGGTGGGTGGTTGGGTGGGTGGATGGGTGGCCGGGTCGGTGGGCGGGTCTGGTTTGGGATCCCTTCAATATCCCCGCTGTGGTTAGCCACACACACGCTCATTCAGAATCTCCCACACGTGTACACTGACTCATTCACGCTCAGTCACACAACACCACGCTGTTAGCTAGAAGCAGCACCTGTGAAGGCTACCGGCACTGTGGTGCACGAGGGGGGTGGGTGGCCAGCACCACGCCCGGCCGCCTTTGTCTCCCCCCTGTGTTGATGTTCACACCGCTCCACCAGGTACTCATTTGAGGCTGAGTCTACCTAGGGGGGAGGTGAGGCCCAGGACTGGTTCAGAAATTCGTGATTCCACCCGCCCCCCCCACCCCTCTCTCTCTCTCACTCTCTCACTCTCTCTGTCTCTCACTCTCTCACTCTCTCTGTCTCTCACTCTCTCTGTCTCTCTCTGTCTCTCACTCTGTCTCTCTGTCTCTCACTCTCTCTGTCTCTCACTCTGTCTCTCTGTCTCTCACTCTCTCTGTCTCTCTGTCTGTCTCTCACTCTCTCACTCTCTCTCTCACTCTCTCTGTCTCTCGCTCTCTCTGTCTCTCACTCTCTCTGTCTCTCTGTCTCTCTCTCTCTCTCTGTCTCTCACTCTCTCTCTGTCTCTCACTCTCTCTGTCTCTCACTCTCTCTGTCTCTCTCTCTCTCTGTCTCTCTCTGTCTCTCACTCTCTCTGTCTCTCTCACTCTGTCTCTCACTCTCTCTGTCTCTCTGTCTCTCTGTCTGTCTCTCTCTCACTCTCTGTCTCTCAATCTCTCTGTCTCTCTGTCTCTCACTCTGTCACTCTCTGTCTCTCTGTCTCTCACTTTGTCTCTCACTCTCTCACTCTGTCTCTCTCTGTCTCTCTGTCTCCCACTCTCTCTCTGTCTCTCACTCTCTTTGTCTCTCTGTCTCTCACTCTGTCTCTCTCTGTCTCTCTGTCTCTCACTCTCTCTCTCTCACACTCTCTCACTCTGTCTCTCACTCTCTCACACTCTCTGTCTCACACTCTCTCACACACTCTCTCACTCTCTCTGTCTCTCTGTCTCTCTGTCTCTCTGTCTCTCTGTCTCTCACTCTCTCTCACACACTCTCTCACTCTGTCTCTCACTCTCTCACTCTCTCTGTCTCTCACTCTCTCTGTCTCTCACTCTCTCTGTCTCTCACTCTCTCACTCTCTCTGTCTCTCACTCTCTCACACCCTCTCTCACTCTCTCACTCTCTCTGTCTCTCCGTCTCTCTCTCTCCATCTCTCTCTAACTCACTCTCCATCTCCCCTGCCCCCCCTCCCGCCACATCTCCCAATCTCCGCGTGCCAGGCGGCGAGCCTGCGCCGCCTGGAGGAGGAGAACGTGGACGCCGCCGCCCTGCTGGTGGAGGTGGTGGGGCGAGGCGAGGCGCTGCTGACTCGTGTCCAGGCGGCGCTCGCAGACATAGCGGAGTCCCAGCTGCGAACGAGGCACTCCCTCCTCGCCCCCTCCTCCTCCTCCTCCTCGTCCTCCACCACCTCGTCCTCCTCCTCCTCCTCCTCGTCGTCCGCCGGCACCGCTGCTACCGGCACCGGGGCTACGTCGGCGGCGGCGGCGGCGGCGGCGGCACCGGCCGCCGGCGCCGCGCCCGAATCGACGGCGCTACCGCTGCCTCCGCCGCCGCCGCCGCCGGTGCCGGCGAACGCCAACGCTACTCAGCACCAGCAGCAGCAGCAGCAGCAGCACCAGCAGCAGCAGCAGCAGCAGGAGGGAAAGGGGGCATCCGAAGCGCTGCTGGACCGGTAAAAGCGGCAGGCAAGATGGAAGTCCCCGGCCTGATGCCTGCCCGCGACCTCCGGGTTATGAGTGCGGTTTTTTTTGCCTCGCGCGGTTTCGACAGAAGTTCCCCCCGTTGGGGCTGCGTGCACGCGAAAGGAGTTCAGCACGCAGGGACTCCTCCGCTTACCGGGGACTGGGTTGGGCTCCAGAGGGTCCGCGTTTCAAAAGTCGATTTCGTTCGTTGAGTCCCAAACGTCATCGCTGGAGATGGGAGATTCCAAACGGCGTCGTACGGCGTGCACACACTGAGCACGTGGGGAATGGTTTTGAAAGTCGTATCATCTCCTGCAGATGTAGACGCCATTGGGTCTTCACGTTCTGCAGATGCCACTGGTTCTTCATGTTCTGTAGATGTAGATGCCACTTCATGTTCTGTAGATGTAGATGCCACTGGTTCTTCACGTTCTGCAGATGTAGATGCCACTGGTTCTTCACATTCTGTAGATGTAAATGCCACTGGTTCTTAACGTTCTGCAGATGTAGATGTCACTGGTTCTTCACGTTCTGCAGATGTAGATGCCACTGGTTCTTCACGTTCTGTAGATGTAGACGCCACTGGTTCTTCACATTCTGTAGATGTAGATGCCACTGGTTCTTCACATTCTTTAGATGTAGATGCCACTGGTTCTTCACATTCTTTAGATGTAGATGCCACTGGTTCTTCACGTTCTGCACATGAAGATGCCACTGGTTCTTCATGTTCTGTAGATGTAGATGTCACTTCATGTTCTGTAGATGTAGATGCCACTGGTTCTTAACGTTCTGTAGATGTAGATGCCACAGGTTCTTCACGTTCTGCACATGTAGATGTCACTGGTTCTTCATGTTCTGTAGATGTAGATGTCACTTCATGTTCTGTAGATGTAGATGCCACTGGTTCTTAACGTTCTGCAGATGTAGATGCCACTGGTTCTTCACGTTCTGCACATGAAGATGCCACTGGTTCTTCACGTTATGTAGAAGCCACTGGTTCTTCACGTTATGTAGATGTAGATGCCACTGGTTCTTCATGTTCTGCACATGAAGATGCCACTGGTTCTTCACGTTCTGCACATGTAGATGCCACTGGTTCTTCACATTCTGTAAATGTAGATGCCACTGGTTCTTCACGTTCTGTAGATGTAGACGCCACTGGTTCTTAACGTTCTGTAGATGTAGATGCCACTGGTTCTTCACGTTCTGCACATGTAGATGCCACTGGTTCTTCACGTTCTGCAGATGTAGATGCCACTGGTTCTTCACGTTCTGCAGAAGTAGATGCCACTGGTTCTTCACATTCTGTAGATGTAGATGCCACCGGTTCTTCACGTTCTGCAGATGTAGATGCCACTGGTTCTTCACGTTCTGCAGATGTAGACGCCACTGGTTCTTCACGTTCTGCAGGTGTAGATGCCACCACCACCCACCGCTATCTATTCCGCAGCTGCTGAACTTACGACTCTCGGTCCGGGACAGCAACTGGACGTGCGGGACAGGGTTTGTCCCTACCTCTGAGAGTCTGTAAAGTCCCTGTACGTACGTAACACGGGAGGCGTTTGAACGTACGCGTGTACACGCAAGGAGCTAGCGGCTATCGTCACGCAAAGTCCGGCCGTCCTCACGTCGGCAACGGCTTCGGCTTCTGGCTGCCCATCGAACAGGAACGGCGGTCTCACCGCATCGTCACGTCGGCGCTTTCGGATGCGCTTCTGCGGCCGTCTGGAACGCTCTTCCTTCCGATGTCGGGAAGCCGCTTGGAGCGGTGATGCATTTGCTCGCGATCCAGATTGACAAAGTCGTTTGCTCAGAAAGTGATTTCTGTGTGTCCGTTTGTTTTACTTCCGCCACCGCCGCCGCCGGCCGCGTGCCTCCGATTAGCGCGGTTGGCTACGTGGTGTGCGAAAGAAGTTCGGCTTAGAACATAGAGACCCATAGACTCACCACACAGAGACCTATAGATTAATCACAGAGACCCATAGACTCACTAACACAGAGACCCATAGATCAATCACAGAGACCCATAGACTCTTCACACAGAGTCAGAGACCCATAGACTCACCACACAGAGGCCCATAGATTAATCACAGAGACCCATAGACTCTTCACACAGAGTCAGAGACCCATAGACTCACCACACAGAGGCCCATAGATTAATCACAGAGACCCATAGACTCTTCACACAGAGTCAGAGACCCATAGACTCACCACACAGAGACCCATAGATTAATCACAGAGACCCATAGACTCACTAACACAGAGACCTATAGACTCTTCACACAGAGTCAGAGACCCATAGACTCACCACACAGAGACCCATAGATTAATCACAGAGACCCATAGACTCTTCACACAGAGTCAGAGACCCATAGACTCACCACACAGTGACCCATAGATTAATCACAGAGACCCATAGACTCTTCACACAGAGTCAGAGACCCATAGACTCACCACACAGAGACCCATAGATTAATCACAGAGACCCATAGACTCTTCACACAGAGTCAGAGACCCATAGACTCACCACACAGAGACCCATAGATTAATCACAGAGACCCATAGACTCTTCACACAGAGTCAGAGACCCATAGACTCACCACACAGAGACCCATAGACTCACCACACAGAGACCCATAGACTCACCACACAGAGACCCATAGATCAATCACAGAGACCCATAGACTCACTAACACAGAGACCCATAGACTCACCACACAGAGACCCATAGATTAATCACAGAGACCTATAGACTCACCACACAGAGACCCATAGACTCTTCACACAGAGTCAGAGACCCATACACTCACCACACAGAGACCCATAGATTAATCACAGAGACCTATAGACTCACCACACAGAGACCCATAGATTAATCACAGAGACCCATAGACTCACCACACAGAGACCCATATATTAATCACAGAGACCCATAGACTCACTAACACAGAGACCTATAGACTCTTCACACAGAGTCAGAGACCCATAGACTCACCACACAGAGACCCATAGATTAATCACAGAGACCCATAGACTCTTCACACAGAGTCAGAGACCCATAGACTCACCACACAGACCCATAGATTAATCACAGAGACCCATAGACTCTTCACACAGAGTCAGAGACCCATAGACTCACCACACAGAGACCCATAGATTAATCACAGAGACCCATAGACTCTTCACACAGAGTCAGAGACCCATAGACTCACCACACAGAGACCCATAGATTAATCACAGAGACCCATAGACTCTTCACACAGAGACCCATAGACTCTTCACACAGAGTCAGAGACCCATAGACTCACCACACAGAGACCCATAGATTAATCACAGAGACCCATAGACTCTTCACACAGAGTCAGAGACCCATAGACTCACCACACAGAGACCCATAGACTCACCACAGAGACCCATAGATTAATCACAAAGACCCATAGACTCTTCACACAGAGTCAGAGACCCATAGACTCACCACACAGAGACCCATAGATTAATCACAGAGACCCATAGACTCTTCACACAGAGTCAGAGACCCATAGACTCACCACACAGAGACCCATAGATTAATCACAGAGACTCATAGACTCACTAACATAGAGACCTATAGACTCTTCACACAGAGTCAGAGACCCATAGACTCACCACACAGAGACCCATAGATTAATCACAGAGACCCATAGACTCTTCACACAGAGTCAGAGACCCATAGACTCACCACACAGAGACCCATAGATTAATCACAGAGACCCATAGACTCACTAACATAGAGACCTATAGACTCTTCACACAGAGTCAGAGACCCATAGACTCACCACACAGAGACCCATAGATTAATCACAGAGACCCATAGACTCTTCACACAGAGTCAGAGACCCATAGACTCACCACACAGAGACCCATAGATTAATCACAGAGACCCATAAACTCTTCACACAGAGTCAGAGACCCATAGACTCACCACACAGAGACCCATAGATTAATCACAGAGACCCATAGACTCTTCACACAGTCAGAGACCCATAGACTCACCACACAGAGACCCATAGATTAATCACAGAGACCCATAGACTCTTCACACAGAGTCAGAGACCCATAGACTCACCACACAGAGACCCATAGATTAATCACAGAGACCCACAGACTCACCACACATACCCATAGACTCACCACACAGAGACCCATAGACTCACCACACATACCCATAGACTCACCACACAGAGACCCATAGACTCACCACACACAGACCCATAGACTCACCACACACAGACCCATAGACTCGCCACAGACCCATAGACTCGCCACACAGACCCATAGACTCTTCACACAGACCCATAGATTAATCACAGAGACCCATAGACTCTTCACACAGACCCATAGATTAATCACAGAGACCCATAGACTCACCACACAGAGACCCATAGACTCACCACACAGAGACCCACAGACTCACCACGCAGAGACCCATAGACTCACCACGCAGAGACCCACAGACTCACCACGCAGAGACCCACAGACTCACCACGCAGAGACCCATAGACTCACCACGCAGAGACTCACAGACTCACCACACAGAGACCCACAGACTTACCACACAGAGACCCATAGACTCACTACATAGAGACCAATAGACTCTTCACACAGAGACCCATAGACTCTTCACACAGAGACCCATAGACTCACCACACAGACCCACAGACTCACCACACAGACGCACAAACTCACCACAGACTCACCACACAGAAACCCATAGACTCTTCACACAGAGACCCATAGACTCATCACACAGAGACCCATAGACTCGCCACACATACCCATAGACTCACCACACATACCCATAGACTCACCACACATACCCATAGACTCACCACACATACCCATAGACTCACCACACAGAGACCCATAGACTCACCACACAGAGACCCACAGACTCACCACACAGAGACCCACAGACTCACCACACAGAGACCCACAGACTCACCACACAGAGACCCACAGACTCACCACACAGAGACCCATAGACTCACCACACAGAGACCCATAGACTCACCACACAGAGACCCATAGACTCACCACACAGAGACCCATAGACTCGTCACACAGATACCCATAGACTCGTCACACAGACCCATAGACTCCCCACACAGAGACCCATAGGTTAACATACGCGCACACACGTACACGTACACACACGTACACACACATACGTGTACACACATGTACACACACGTGTACACACACATACGTGTACACACATGTACACACACACATACGTGTACACACATGTACACACGTATGTACACCGCGCTTGCCACTCGTGTTGGTCGTGGTGCGGGTGTCGGGAAGCGCGCAGTATGAATGGAGCTGTGTGAATGTGTGCAGTCACCTGATTGGTTGTGTGTGTCTGTAGGTCTGTGTGTGTGTGTCTGTGTGTGTGTCTGTGTGTGTGTGTCTGTAGGTCTGTGTGTGTGTCTGTGTGTGTCTGTAGGTCTGTGTGTGTGTCTGTGTGTGTGTCTGTCTGTGTGTGTCTGTGTGTGTGTCTGTAGGTCTGTGTGTGTGTCTGTGTGTGTGCCTGTGTGTGTCTCTGTGTGTGTCTCTGTGTGTGTGTCTCTGTGTGCGTCTCTGTGTGCGTGTCTCTGTGTGTGTGTCTCTGTGTGTGTCTCTGTGTATCTCTGTTTGTATCTCTGTGTGTGTATCTCTGCGTGTATATCTCTGCGTGTATATCTCTGCGTGTGTATCTCTGCGTGTGTATCTCTGTGTGTATCTCTGTGTGTGTGTCTCTCTTTATGTATCTCTGTGTCTCTGTGTGTGTATCTCTGTGTGTGTCTCTGTGTGTGTCTCTGTGTGTGTTTCTGTGTGTGTGTCTCTGTGTGTGTATCTCTGTGTGTATCTCTGTGTGTATCTCTGTGTGTGTCTCTGTGTGTGTGTCTGTATCTCTGTGTGTATCTCTGTGTGTATATCTCTGCGTGTGTATCTCTGTGTGTGTATCTGTGTGTGTATCTCTTTATGTATCTCTGTGTGTGTATCTCTGTGTGTGTATGTCTATGTATCTGTGTGTGTGTCTCTGTGTGTGTGTCTCTGTGTGTGTGTCTCTGTGTGTGTATCTGTGTGTGTATCTCTGCGTGTGTATCTCTGTGTGTGTATCTCTTTATGTATCTCTGTGTGTATCTCTGCGTGTGTATCTCTGTGTGTATGTCTATGTATCTCTGTGTGTGTATCTCTTTATGTATCTCTGTGTGTGTGTCTCTGTGTGTGTATCTCTGTGTGTGTATCTGTGTATCTCTGTGTGTATGTCTCTGTGTGTCTCTGTGTATCTCTGTGTGTGTGTCTGTGTGTTTGTATCTCTGTGTGTATGTCTCTGTGTGTATATCTCTGCGTGTGTATCTCTGTGTGTATCTCTTTATGTATCTCTGTGTGTATCTCTGCGTGTATCTTTGTGTGTGTATCTCTGTGTGTATCTCTGCGTGTATCTCTGTGTGTATCTCTGTGTATGTATCTCTGTGTGTATCTCTATGTATCTCTGTGTGTGTCTCTGTGTGTGTATCTCTTTATGTATCTCTGTGTGTGTATCTGTGTGTGTGTATCTGTGTGTGTGTCTGTGTGTGTATCTCTGCGTGTGTACCTCTTTATGTATCTCTGTGTGTGTGTATCTGTGTGTGTGTATCTCTATGTATCTCTGTGTGTGTCTGTGTGTGTATCTCCGTGTGTGTATCTGTGTGTGTCTCTTTATGTATCTCTGTGTGTGTATCTCTGTGTGTGTATCTCTATGTATCTCTTTATTTATCTCTGTGTGTGTCTCTGTGTGTGTATCTCTGTGTGTGTATCTCTGTGTGTGTATGTCTATGTTTCTGTGTGTGTGTGTCTCTGTGTGTATCTCTGTGTGTGTATCTCTGTGTGTGTATCTCTATGTATCTCTTTATTTATCTCTGTGTGTGTCTCTGTGTGTGTATCTCTGTGTGTGTATCTCTGTGTGTGTATGTCTATGTATCTGTGTGTGTGTGTCTCTGTGTGTATCTCTGTGTGTGTATCTCTGTGTGTGTATGTCTATGTATCTGTGTGTGTGTGTCTCTGTGTGTGTATCTCTTTATGTATCTCTGTGTGTGTATCTCTGTGTGTGTATGTCTATGTATCTCTGTGTGTGTATCTGTGTGTATCTCTGCGTGTATCTCTTTATCTATCTCTGTGTGTGTATCTCTGCGTGTGTATGTCTATGTATCTCTGCGTGTGTCTCTGCGTGTATCTCTGCGTGTGTCTCTGTGTGTGTGTCTCTGTGTGTGTCTCTCTGTGTCTCTGTGTGTGTGTCTCTGTGTGTATCTCTGTGTATGTGTGTCTATGTATCTGTGTGTGTGTATCTGCGTGTGTATCTCTGCGTGTAGAGTACTCCCAGCTGTTTGCGACGCTGATCGCACGCACTGCCAAGGATATTGATGTCCTCATCGACTCCCTGCCGAGCGAGGAGTCGACCGCCGCCCTACAGGTAGCACCCTGCACCACCTACAAACAACAACAACGCCCTGCACCACCTACTAACAACAACAACGCCCTGCACCACCTACGAACAACAACAACACCCTGCACCACCTACTAACAACGACAACAACACCCTGCACCACCTACAAACAACAACAACGCCCTGCACCACCTACTAACAACAACAACAACACCCTGCACCACCTACTAACATCAACAACAACGCCCTGCACCACCTACAAACAACAACAACAACACCCTGGACAAACAACGCCCTGCACCACCTACTAACAACAACAACAACACCCTGCACCACCTACTTACAACAACAACAACGCCCTGCACCACCTACTAACAACAACAACACCCTGCATCACCTACTTACAACAACAACAACGCCCTGCACCACCTACTAACAACAACAACACCCTGCATCACCTACTAACAACAACAACAACACCCTGCATCACCTACTAACAACGACAACAACACCCTGCACCACCTACAAACAACAACAACAACGCCCTGCACCACCTACTAACAACAACAACAACAACAACGCCCTGCACCACCTACTAACAACAACAACAACAACGCGTTGCACCACCTACAAACAACAACAACGCCCTGCACCACCTACTAACAACAACAACAACGCCCTGCACCACCTACTAACAACAATAACGCCCTGCACCACCTACTAACAACAACAACAACGGTGGGTGGATGGGTGGGTGGGTGGTTGGGTGGATGGTTGGGTGGGTGGTTGGGTGGGTGGTTGGGTGGGTGGGTGGGTGGATGGGTGGGTGGATGGGTGGGTGGGTGGATGGGTGGGTGTGGGATGGGTGGGTGGGTGGGTGGATGGTTGGGTGGATGGTTGGGTGGATGGTTGGGTGGGTGGGTGGTTGGGTGGGTGGGTGGGTGGTTGGGTGGGTGGGTGGGTGGATGGGTGGCCGGGTCGGTGGGCGGGTCTGGTTTGGGATCCCTTCAATATCCCCGCTGTGGTTAGCCACACACACGCTCATTCAGAATCTCCCACACGTGTACACTGACTCATTCATGCTCAATCACACAACACCACGCTGTTAGCTAGAAGCAGCACCTGTGAAGGCTACCGGCACTGTGGTGCACGAGGGGGGTGGGTGGCCAGCACCACGCCCGGCCGCCTTTATCTCCCCCCTGTGTCGATGTTCACACCGCTACACCAGGTACTCATTTGAGGCTGAGTCGACCTAGGGGGGAGGCGAGGCCCAGGACCGGTTCAGAAATTCGTGATTCCACCCCCCCACCCCTCTCTGTCTCTCACTCTCTCTGTCTCTCACTCTCTCTGTCCCTCTCACTCTCTCTGTCTCTCTCTCTGTCTCTCTCACTCTCTGTCTCTCTCTCTCTCTGTCTCTCTGTCTCTCACTCTCTCTGTCTCTCTCTCTCTCTGTCTCTCACTCTCTCTCTCACTCTCTCTGTCTCTCTCTCTCTCTCACTCTCTCTGTCTCTCTGTCTCTCACTCCCTCACACTCTCACTCTCTCTGTCTCTCTGTCTCTCACTCTCTCTCTCTCTCTCTGTCTCTCTCTCTCTGTCTCTCACTCTCTCTCTCACTCTCTCTGTCTCTCACTCTCTCTCTCACTCTCTCTGTCTCTCTCTCTCTCTCTCACTCTCTCTGTCTCTCACTCTCTCTCTCACTCTCTCTGTCTCTCACTCTCTCTCTCACTCTCTCTGTCTCTCTCTCTCTCTCTCACTCTCTCTGTCTCTCTCTCTGTCTCTCTGTCTCTCTCACTCTCTCTGTCTCTCACTCTCTCTGTCCCTCTCACTCTCTCTGTCTCTCTGTCTGTCTCTCTCACTCTCTGTCTCTCTCTCTCTCTGTCTCTCACTCTCTCACTCTCTCTGTCTCTCTGTCTCTCACTCTCTCTGTCTCTCTGTCTCTCACTCTCTCACTCTCTCAGTCTCTCTGTCTCTCACTCTCTCACTCTCTCTGTCTCTCACTCTGTCTCTCTCACTCTCTCTGTCTCTCTGTCTGTCTCTCTCTCACTCTCTCACTCTCTCACTCTCTCACTGTCTCTGTCTCTCTGTCTCTGTCTCTCTGTCTCTCACTCTCTCTGTCTCTCTCTCTCTCTGTCTCTCACTCTCTCTCTCTCACTCTCTCTGTCTCTCTCTCTCTCTCACTCTCTCTGTCTCTCTGTCTCTCACTCCCTCACACTCTCACTCTCTGTCTCTCTGTCTCTCACTCTCTCTCTCTCTGTCTCTCTGTCTCTCACTCTCTCTCTCTCTGTCTCTCTCTCTCTGTCTCTCACTCTCTCTCTCACTCTCTCTGTCTGTCTCTCTCTCTCTCTCTGTCTCTCTGTCTCTCACTCTCTCTCTCTCTGTCTCTCTCTCTCTGTCTCTCACTCTCTCTCTCACTCTCTCTGTCTGTCTCTCTCTCTCACTCTCTCTGTCTCTCTCTCTGTCTCTCTGTCTCTCACACTCTCTCTCTCTGTCTCTCACTCTCTCTGTCTCTCACTCTCTCTGTCTCTCACTCTGTCTCTCACTCTCTCTGTCTCTCACTCTCTCTGTCTCTCACTCTGTCTCTCTCTGTCTCTCACTCTCTCTGTCTCTCTCTGTCTCTGTCTCCTACTCTCTCACTCTCTCTGTCTCTCTCTCTGTCTCTCACCCTCTCTGTTTCTCACTCTCTCACTCTGTCTCTCACGCTCTCACTCTCTCTGTCTCCCTCTCACTCTCTCTGGCTCTCTGTCTCTCACTCTCTCTGTCTCTCACTCTCTCTGTCTCTCACTCTCTCTGTCTCTCTATCTCTCACTCTCTCACTCTGTCTCTCTGTCTCTCACTCTCTCTCTCACACTCTCTCACTCTGTCTCTCACTCTCTCACTCTCTCTGTCTCTCACACCCTCTCACACACTCTCACTCTCTCTGTCTCTCACTCTCTCACTCTGTCTCTCTCTGTCTCACACTCACTCTCACACACTCTCTCACTCTCTCTGTCTCTCCGTCTCTCTCTCTCCATCTCTCTCTAACTCACTCTCCATCTCCCCTGCCCCCCCCCCCCCCCCCCCCGCCACATCTCCCAATCTCCGCGTGCCAGGCGGCGAGCCTGCGCCGCCTGGAGGAGGAGAACGTGGACGCCGCCGCCCTGCTGGTGGAGGTGGTGGGGCGAGGCGAGGCGCTGCTGACTCGTGTCCAGGCGGCGCTCGCAGACATAGCGGAGTCCCAGCTGCGAACGAGGCACTCCCTCCTCGCCCCCTCCTCCTCCTCCTCCTCCTCGTCCTCCACCACCTCGTCCTCCTCCTCCTCCTCCTCCTCGTCGTCGTCCGCCGGCACCGCTGCTACCGGCGCCGGGGCTACGTCGGCGGCGGCGGCGGCACCGGCACCGGCCGCCGGCGCCGCGCCCGAATCGACGGCGCTACCGCTGCCTCCGCCGCCGCCGCCGCCGGTGCCGGCGAACGCCAACGCTACTCAGCACCAGCAGCAGCAGCAGCAGCAGCAGCACCAGCAGCACCAGCAGCAGCAGCAGCAGGAGGGAAAGGGGGCATCCGAAGCGCTGCTGGACCGGTAAAAGCGGCAGGCAAGATGGAAGTCCCCGGCCTGATGCCTGCCCGCGACCTCCGGGTTATGAGTGCGGTTTTTTTTTGCCTCGCGCGGTTTCGACAGAAGTTCCCCCCGTTGGGGCTGCGTGCACGCGAAAGGAGTTCAGCACGCAGGGACTCCTCCGCTTACCGGGGACTGGGTTGGGCTCCAGAGGGTCCGCGTTTCAAAAGTCGATTTCGTTCGTTGAGTCCCAAACGTCATCGCTGGAGATGGGAGATTCCAAACGGCGTCGTACGGCGTGCACACACTGAGCACGTGGGGAATGGTTTTGAAAGTCGTATCATCTCCTGCAGATGTAGACGCCACTGGGTCTTCATGTTGTGCAGATGTAGATGCCACTGGTTCTTCACGTTCTGCAGATGTAGATGCCACAGGTTCTTCACGTTGTGCAGATGCCACTGGTTCTTCATGTTCTGTAGATGTAGATGCCACTTCATGTTCTGTAGATGTAGATGCCACTGGTTCTTAACGTTCTGCAGATGTAGACGCCACTGGTTCTTCACATTCTGTAGATGTAAATGCCACTGGTTCTTAACGTTCTGCAGATGTAGATGTCACTGGTTCTTCACGTTCTGCAGATGTAGATGCCACTGGTTCTTCACGTTCTGTAGATGTAGACGCCACTGGTTCTTCACATTCTGTAGATGTAGATGCCACTGGTTCTTCACATTCTTTAGATGTAGATGCCACTGGTTCTTCACGTTCTGTAGATGTAGATGCCACTGGTTCTTAACGTTCTGCAGATGTAGATGCCACTGGTTCTTCACGTTCTGCACATGAAGATGCCACTGGTTCTTCATGTTCTGTAGATGTAGATGTCACTTCATGTTCTGTAGATGTAGATGCCACTGGTTCTTAACGTTCTGTAGATGTAGATGCCACAGGTTCTTCACGTTCTGCACATGTAGATGTCACTGGTTCTTCATGTTCTGTAGATGTAGATGTCACTTCATGTTCTGTAGATGTAGATGCCACTGGTTCTTAACGTTCTGCAGATGTAGATGCCACTGGTTCTTCACGTTCTGCACATGAAGATGCCACTGGTTCTTCACGTTATGTAGAAGCCACTGGTTCTTCACGTTATGTAGATGTAGATGCCACTGGTTCTTCATGTTCTGCACATGAAGATGCCACTGGTTCTTCACGTTCTGCACATGTAGATGCCACTGGTTCTTCACATTCTGTAAATGTAGATGCCACTGGTTCTTCACATTCTGCAGATGTAGATGCCACTGGTTCTTCACATTCTGTAGATGTAGATGCCACTGGTTCTTCACGTTCTGTAGATGTAGATGCCACTGGTTCTTAACGTTCTGTAGATGTAGATGCCACTGGTTCTTCACGTTCTGCAGATGTAGACGCCACTGGTTCTTCATGTTCTGCAGATGTAGATGCCACCGCTTCTTCACGTTCTGCAGATGTAGATGCCACTGGTTCTTCACATTCTGTAGATGTAGATGCCACTGGTTCTTCACGTTCTGTAGATGTAGATGCCACTGGTTCTTCACGTTCTGTAGATGTAGATGCCACTGGTTCTTCACGTTCTGCAGATGTAGACGCCACTGGTTCTTCACGTTCTGCAGATGTAGATGCCACTGGTTCTTCACATTCTGTAGATGTAGATGCCACTGGTTCTTCACGTTCTGCACATGTAGATGCTACTGGTTCTTTACGTTCTGCAGATGTAGATGCCACTGGTTCTTCACGTTCTGCACATGTAGATGCCACTGGTTCTTAACGTTCTGTAGATGCCACTGGTTCTTAACGTTCTGCAGATGTAGATGCCACTGGTTTTTCACGTTCTGTAGCTGTTGATGTCACTGGTTCTTCACGTTATGTAGATGCCACTGGTTCTTCACGTTCTGCAGATGTAGACGCCACTGGTTCTTCACGTTCTGCAGATGTTGATGCCACTGGTTGTTAACGTTCTGTAGATGTAGATGCCACTGGTTCTTCACGTTCTGCAGATGTAGACGCCACTGGTTGTTAACGTTCTGTAGATGTAGATGCCACTGGTTCTTCACATTCTTTAGATGTAGATGCCACTGGTTCTTCACGTTCTGCAGATGTAGATGCTACTGGTTCTTCACGTTCTGTAGATGTAGATGCCACTGGTTCTTCACGTTCTGTAGATGTAGACGCCACTGGTTCTTCACATTCTGTAGATGTAGATGCCACTGGTTCTTCACGTTCTGTAGATGTAGATGCCACTGGTTCTTCACATTCTGTAGATGTAGATGCCACTGGTTCTTTACGTTCTGCAGATGTAGATGCCACTGGTTGTTCACGTTCTGCACATGTAGATGCCACTGGTTCTTCACATTCTGTAGATGTAGATGCCACTGGTTCTTCACGTTCTGTAGATGTAGACGCCACTAGTTCTTAACGTTCTGCAGATGTAGATGCCACTGGTTCTTCACGTTCTGCACATGAAGATGCCACTGGTTCTTCACGTTCTGCAGATGTAGATACCACTGGTTCTTCATGTTCTGCACATGAAGATGCCACTGGTTCTTCACGTTCTGCACATGAAGATGCCACTGGTTCTTCACGTTATGTAGAAGCCACTGGTTCTTCACGTTATGTAGATGTAGATGCCACTGGTTCTTCATGTTCTGCACATGAAGATGCCACTGGTTCTTCACGTTCTGCACATGTAGATGCCACTGGTTCTTCACATTCTGTAAATGTAGATGCCACTGGTTCTTCACATTCTGCAGATGTAGATGCCACTGGTTCTTCACATTCTGTAGATGTAGATGCCACTGGTTCTTCACGTTCTGTAGATGTAGACGCCACTGGTTCTTAACGTTCTGTAGATGTAGATGCCACTGGTTCTTCACGTTCTGCACATGTAGATGCCACTGGTTCTTCACGTTCAACAGATGTAGACGCCACCGGTTCTTCACGTTCTGCAGGTGTAGATGCCACCACCACCCACCTCTATCTATTCCGCAGCTGCTAAACATACGACTCTCGGTCCGGGACAGCAACTGGACGTGCGGGACAGGGTTTGTCCCTACCTCTGAGAGTCTGTAAAGTCCCTGTACGTACGTAACACGGGAGGCGTTTGAACGTACGCGTGTACACGCAAGGTAGCTAGCGGCTATCGTCACGCAAAGTCCGGCCGTCCTCACGTCGGCAACGGCTTCGGCTTCTGGGTGCCCATCGAACAGGAACGGCGGTCTCACCGCATCGTCACGTCGGCGCTTTCGGATGCGCTTCTGCGGCCGTCTGGAACGCTCTTCCTTCCGATGTCGGGAAGCCGCTTGGAGCGGTGATGCATTTGCTCGTGATCCAGATTGACAAAGTCGTTTGCTCAGAAAGTGCTTTCTGTGTGTCCGTTTGTTTTACTTCCGCCGCCGGCCGCGTGCCTCCGATTAGCGCGGCTGGCTACGTGGTGTGCGAAAGAAGTTCGGCTTAGAACATAGAGACCCATAGACTCACCACACAGAGACCCATAGATTAATCACAGAGACCCATAGACTCACTAACACAGAGACCCATAGATCAATCACAGAGACCCATAGACTCTTCACACAGAGTCAGAGACCCATAGACTCACCACACAGAGGCCCATAGATTAATCACAGAGACCCATAGACTCTTCACACAGAGTCAGAGACCCATAGACTCACCACACAGAGACCCATAGATTAATCACAGAGACCCATAGACTCACTAACACAGAGACCTATAGACTCTTCACACAGAGTCAGAGACCCATAGACTCACCACACAGAGACCCATAGATTAATCACAGAGACCCATAGACTCTTCACACAGAGTCAGAGACCCATAGACTCACCACACAGTGACCCATAGATTAATCACAGAGACCCATAGACTCTTCACACAGAGTCAGAGACCCATAGACTCACCACACAGAGACCCATAGATTAATCACAGAGACCCATAGACTCTTCACACAGAGTCAGAGACCCATAGACTCACCACACAGAGACCCATAGATTAATCACAGAGACCCATAGACTCTTCACACAGAGTCAGAGACCCATAGACTCACCACACAGAGACCCATAGATTAATCACAGAGACCCATAGACTCTTCACACAGTCAGAGACCCATAGACTCACCACACAGAGACCCATAGATTAATCACAGAGACCCATAGACTCTTCACACAGAGTCAGAGACCCATAGACTCACCACACAGAGACCCATAGATTAATCACAGAGACCCACAGACTCACCACACATACCCATAGACTCACCACACAGAGACCCATAGACTCACCACACATACCCATAGACTCACCACACAGAGACCCATAGACTCACCACACACAGACCCATAGACTCACCACACACAGACCCATAGACTCGCCACAGACCCATAGACTCGCCACACAGACCCATAGACTCTTCACACAGACCCATAGATTAATCACAGAGACCCATAGACTCTTCACACAGACCCATAGATTAATCACAGAGACCCATAGACTCACCACACAGAGACCCATAGACTCACCACACAGAGACCCACAGACTCACCACACAGAGACCCATAGACTCACCACACAGAGACCCACAGACTCACCACGCAGAGACCCACAGAC